ATTACGTGATAAAAGATAGATAACGTGTCAGCATGACTGTTGGTCATTACGAAACAGGTTGCATTTGTAACTTTGAAGTAGAGTGCAAGCATTTTGGGCATGCATTTGTAACGCTTTATTTTTCAGAGCCGCAATTAACGTTTACGTCTGAAAATGGTTGCCTTGCTTGCATTCTTTGCTACGGAAAATACGAAATATTTTTTCCCAAAAATCGAATTTTTATTGCACCGGCAAGCCTTTGATAGGTCTTACCTTCGTGCTTCGGCACTACATTTAACTCATTATGAGCGTGCCCGAAACCTATGTGATATCTCGATTAAAGTCGGAGAAGGTTGTCACATATGTTACACCCCAGGGGAAGGGCGTACATGTAACCAGAGAAGTATATTTGCGTAAAAATATACCTTGTCGTGTGCAATTGTGCTCCAACAGTGAATGCCATCCCGGTAATTGGTCGTATTTGTTGATATTTTAAAGGCTTTTCTCTTCCCTCAGAACTTCGGCACATTGTAATTGTTGATGGATTTTATGCTCTCAATTACTGGGAAATCTTTGAGTCTGTAGAAATTCGGGGCATCGTTGTGACCTTATCCTCGCTCTGCTATGTGAGCACTTGATATTCAATACTTCTCAGTATCTTGATGTGTTTTTTACAAGTACATTAATTTAATCAGGCTCAACAACAGGCACTGTCAAAGGCTGTGTATAATCGAATTCGAGCTTGTTTGTCTGATCCAGCTCAGTGTTGCGTATTGTTCGACAACGAGTTTCATGCGGACTGCTTTCGGCAATCTTGTCCTGGTGAATCTGCTCTGGACTACACCACTCGTCTTAACTGGATTGCTGCTCAGTGGTATCGGAGTCACTTGAGGAAGAAGGTTGATGTTATCCTCCTTACAGACAACGCTGAAGTTGCTCTTGAGTTAGCTAGAAGAGATCCATCTAACTCTGGAGCCTTGATAATGGATCTGTCCACTTATCTTCAAACTCATCATTCAGATCTAATTACAGTTCGCCAGCTCTATGATTCTCTCAGTGCCTCATTGAAATCTAGCTATGGTAAACAAAATGAATTGACGTCTACTACAGCTGCGGCATCAACATCTTCAAGTCTACCTGCGCAGCCTGCACCTGGTGACATTTATCCTGCTCACCTTCCAGAATCTGCTCTCATTGCTGGGATCCGGTCGGGTCAGTTTCTTCAGGGTGTACTAAGAGTCTCTCGTTTTCGTTCCTCTACGGAAGCAGTTGTCGTGCTCACCGAGTTAGTCATTCGAGCTCAAAACTTCATGCCTTTTAACGCAGCAGGTTTCTCGATTTTGAATTTGACTGATTGCTTGCATGTCTCCCTTCGTTTAGCGCTAGTGCTCTTAAACACCAAGCAGACATCCAGGACACGGAGTTTGCATCACGCTCCGAGTTGGCGATAAACGGAATGGCGCATCGAAATCGTGCAGTCGACGGAGATATTGTAGTAGTTCGGTTGTTGCCACGAAATCTGTGGACTACGGTTTCAAGTAATCTGATGCCTTCCGAAGCAGGTATCATTTTATCATAGTGCTTTCGATCTCGATCTTACCTACTGCTTCTTGAGATCTGCACTTACCTAATGTGCTATTTGTTGCTAGTATTATTTGGAATTACTTCATTCTAAAGATGTCGATAAGACAGTGGCACGAAAGCTCCCCCCATTTGGCTTTATTTTACACTTTGCTTCTTGACAATCCCTCAGTTATACTAGGAACTTATGAGGAGCAGGTGTCGGAAGTATCCTCAAATGATCTTCTTTTTCCATTAGGCGTAACGGAGGCAATGGTTTCAGCCCTGGACAATGCTGGTGCAGTGGACGAAAGGGGCGAGGCCGAATCAAAAGTCGGTGGTATTGGCGGGGATATCACAGTCCAGTCCGTCCCTACCTCCGGTTTGCCCTGTGCTTTTGTGGTCGGCGTTTTAACTCGAAATTGGCGCGATTATGTTTGTTCCTACATGTCGCGTGAGGGACAAGAGGACAAAAGTACTTCACTCTCTTCTACTCCCGGTTGGATAGTAGCTACTCCCTGGGACAGACGCATACCCCGCGTTCGTATCTTCACTACTGAGCCTTTAAAATTGGCTGGAATTAGGTTTGTTCAAGCATTTACGTCGATAGGCCTATTATTCCCAGTATCAGTCGCAACGTTCATTAGATCTAGCGTTTGCTTGATCTAAAGTGAATGAGTATGCATAGAAATGAAAGACACTGTTGCGTGGTAGAAACCATTCGTGACGACCTTGGTGTACCTAAATTCGGACTGGATTTTAGTGTATCTGCGCTCAGGATGGTTGAATCCTATTGCATGCTTTTACTCCTTCTAAAGACTATTTTCATTAGCATAGAAAGAGAATTTGACATTATGCCATCGACGAGGCCTTACCAATTGAAGTCCTCGCCGATAGTATCAATGATTACCAGTTTTGATAGACTCATTGGTTTCAATCTCTGTAAAATGCTGCAGTAGCTTTCAGTTGGACGTTCTCATACTGTTAGCCTGTTTTGCATGTTTTATTTACTTTTAATATGAGCTTGCCCCAAAGCCAAATTGATTGGACTCAAAACTCAGTTCAAAGCTTCTTCACCGCTGCATCTCGAAGAATTTTCTAATTTTTCAATCTTAATGATAGCAAAGGTAGTCATAAGCGGCACATTCTTCTCTCTGAGCTGAAGCAGTAGATGTTCTCGATTCTGTAGCCTTGCTTCCGTATTGGCTTTAGAGACTTCTGTCAGTATATTGCAACTTAGCAGTGTCTGTCGAACATTCGTATATGCTTGTTCATACCTACGGAACATAGAATGGATTCCTCTGTTACAGATTTGTTGTCCGAATGGACCGTTGGGACGCCAATTCCAACTATCCTAGTGGTCACTTCGTCCAATCTCTCGGCCCAATAGGCGACCTAGAGACAGAGACGCAGACCATCCTCGTGGAACACGGTCTAGCCTACCGGCCATTTACAGACATCCAGTTGGGTGAACTGAAACATCTCGCTGCTGCTCGTGGTGTCTGGCGAGTTGATCCTGCGGAGGTTGCACATCGGCGTGATCTCCGTTCCCCATCTGTTTCTGGCAATCCTCTCTCTGAGGATACTCTTGTCTTCTCCATTGATCCACCTGGTTGTGAAGATGTCGATGATGCTCTCTCCGTCCGTTTGCTTGGAAGTGCGATCGAAGATATCTCTGCAAGGCGTATCCAACTTGGTGTGCACATTGCTGATGTGACTTACTTCGTCAAATCGAATGGTAATCTTGATGCCGAGGCAAAGAGACGTTCCACCTCGGTTTATCTTGCTGATCGTCGTTATGATATGTTACCAGGCATTCTGAGTGGCGATATTTGTTCCCTCTGGAGCGGAGTCGATCGGCAAGTTATTTGTTCTTTCTTAACGATGTTCGAGGTGACATTCAACACGGTTACTAATGTCACATTCTGTTGGATTCCGACTAGCGTTCAGTTAGTGGACCACATTGTGTGTTTTCCTTAAGGAGGGTCTTAAACAGTTCCGCTTTATTATCCTTGGCCGAATTTCCCAACGTGAAATCTAATAAGTGAATAAAAGTCGACGTAGTTTCAAAAGCTCCTTTTTTTGTGATTCTTTAGACATAAGCGATATTTTGATATCATGCTCAAATTACGAGATCTGAAATGTTACTCAAGCAGTGCAACAGGCATTCCAGCGTGGATTAACCTTTATTATCGAAACGCAGGTTGATAGGGGCGCCGCAGCACTAAGGCGATAACTGTGGCTTGTCAGAAACGCAATTGCTTAATTGTAATGGTGCTTGCTGATTTTACTGTACAGGTACGCGGTGAGCGTGATATGGGAGCTGGATCCAGTCAGTCTGGAAGTGCTAGACGTCTGGTATGGACGCACTGTCATCCGCTCTGCCTACAAAATGACTTACCAGGCCGCACAAACTATTGCAGATCTCAAAGATGTCGGGACGGAAATGGAACCCAATGGGGCGAAAATCCTTTCTGGTTTGGGAGGTTTGAAGGAGGTTGGTGAACTCATCCCGGAACTTGCGAACCAATCAAAGGCCAAAGTTCTTCCTTGTTTGGCAAGCCTCTACTCAGCTATATGCATGCTTATTCGTATCGCCTCACATATCCGTCACCTCAGAATCGATCAAGGTGGTCTTGAATTGGATTCTGTTGAGGTTTCTGTTAAATTTGAGAACCCAAAGGAGCGAACGGGAGCTCTAGAAGACATAATACCGAAGGAGACATTGGAAATGCATTCCACTGTGGCGGAAATGATGATTTTTGCCAATCATTGGGTTGCGAGGCAGTGTCTCAAGGTTTTCCCTGAACGATCATGCCTACGACGGCACCCACCTCCACGACCAGAGTTTTTTGACGATCTGAAACGTTGTGCCGCTTCCCGTGGCTTTCAGTTGGAGGTTGGATCCAACAGGGCTTTGTCTGCATCACTTGCCAGGTGTGTGGACCCTGCAGATCCCGAAGTGAATAGTATGCTACGTCAGTTGGCGACCAGGGCGATGACTAACGCTCTGTACTTCTCAAGTGGATCGGAGGATTTGACACGAGATCTATTCGGTCACTACGGTCTGGCTTTGAATCTCTACACTCACTTTACTTCGCCTATTCGTCGCTATGCGGACATTGTTGTAAGTGTTGAAAACCAACTTCTGATAACTTGAAAGCAAAACATTTTACCGTTTCCAACTTTTGATTAAATGAAGAGAGCATTGAAATTTGCACGCATCGAGTTTCAGCGCCTTTTTGTTTTGCTTTAATCCACTCATCAAAAAGTGAAGAACTTTGTTCTTGTGCACACTATCTAAAGTGTCGATGACGGTATTTATCATTTTTTCGAGCTGTTGTTTACTAACTTGGGAAGATTTTTATTTCATGATTTAAAGTAGGGCTTGCATCTCTACATTTATTAATGGCTTTTATCATTGTATGTTGAGAGCATGGTCCTTTTATCGCCGTTTCCAGGCTTCCCATGAGGCAAAGTGAAGACATAAGACTTGCCTGGATGCCTGTTTTCAGACGGAATGGGAAGAGGTGGGGCTTCGGCCCTGCTTGAAGGCCACCCCACCCGACAAGATCAAGGTGTGGGTAAACGTAACCACCACTCAAACAGGCAGTCGAACAAGCAACGTATTCTGCTAGCCATACCCAAAATAGAAAATGCAATGGTTTATCACGTATCTACTCTATGGAATGAAACTTTAGGCCTTACAGGCGGTGACTGTCATTTATTTGCTGTAGCGATGCTTACTTAGAGACTTGCTGGTGACTATTTCCATAACCAACCATATTTTTTTCTGCTAAAACAAAGGTTCACCGCATTCTTCTGGCAGCCATTGAGCACTCTACCACCGTACAAATTGCACCGACACCTCCCAAGGGACTGTGTGAACACGATGAATTGGTGGTCATATGTCGGCACATGAATGAGCGTCATTGGGCAGCCCAGCAGGCACAGCGCAGTTCTATCGAACTCTTCCAAGCTCTCTTCTTTCGAGACAAATCGGAGGACGATGCTTGTCGCTATGCCGATGCCATCATTTATCAACTTCGGGGCTTAAATGGCTTTTCTGTTATGGTACCAAGGTATTTAGCCATTGGTTTCCATTATGGTGTTTTGAGCAACTCAGAGCACGATTAAATTCATCAAAGTCTGCTGTTTGTTTTGTGTCGCAAAAATTCGGTGATGAAACTGCCATTATGGTGTATCCTGGTACTCCTTTTCCAACTACCTTTTTGCATCTCAGTGTGATATAATTTACGCCGTTATCTCTCATTTGCCATTCTACTCATGGTTAGCTGTGCTGTTGAAGTCCTCCACACATTCATGCTCATGGTCACCATTTATCCCCAACCAAAAACGGCACTTTTGCTGCTGTATTTTTCTCCCACTTAAGTGCACGTTACTGTAATTCAATGCTTCTTACTAGAGTTCACAAAATACTGATTTGTGTAGTTGGTAAAGGATTCCTCCTATTTGTAAGGTCACTCAAGCATCGAACACCTTTTCGTTGATCCACTCGTTGCACTAGTTCGGAGTACTGCTGTTACTTCTTGATCAAGTACGTGCCTTTTGTATAGGTACGGTCTTCGAGGTAACGTGTGCCTCAAGCGTGCGGATGGTGGAATTGCCTGGTTGTCTGACGCCAAAACAGGTCGTATCATCTGGCTACCACCGGATGTGCCTTGTGAGGTACTCCTTCTATTTCCCTCTTCAAATACTCACCAACTTCAATGCTCTTTGATTCTTCAAATCTTGTGGGTTTTTCAGATTGTTCGCAGTCCTGTTCCCTCGACCACAGGACCACTGGGACATCTACAATGTGATCAACTAGAGGTAGTTAAACCTGATGGAGCACGTCAAAGCTACCGAGTTTTTGATCACGTTACCGTGTATATTACAACATTTGAATCCACCGCTCATGGTCTAAGCCTTCGGCTAGAGCTATATGCAAAGGCGTCCAAGGGACGAAAAAGGGGGAAAATTGAGCTTCCACGGCCGATTGTCGGAGATGATAGTGGCTATAAAATGCATGCAGACGTGGAGATGGTTGAGGTATGTTTAAATTATCCTCCTCTGCGCTCCTTTACTGAACTGAAACTATTATTCTTTTCCAGAGTGTTCGAGCGATGGATATAGACAAGAGGAAGAAGCGAAAGAAGGAGAATGAGAAGGAAGGAGGTGAGCTAATCACGGAGGATTTTGACGAACCGGAGAAAGTGAATGAGCAGAGGGCGGTGATTGCTCAGTTGCACACCGCGTCCTCGTTTTATCATCAGTTCCGCGAACTCCTACGCTCTGGAAGTGGTGGCTGTAAAGGGAATGATAGTATTCCTTGAGTTGTATTTGTATTATTTTGCAGGAATTCGCTACTTTTTTGTAATTCTTCATTATGGTGAAGGTGGGTGGGAGGAGTCGTGGGAGAGTCTCTTTGGGTGGAAATGGGCCTAGGCAGAGAGGTGGGTGGGGTGTGGGTCGAGTGGGCTGGGTTGCGGGTGGGCTTGGGCATTACTTCAGCTTGTGTTTATTACCCAAGGCCAGGTACATTGGTTTAGGCATTGCATGTAGTAATGAAAAAATCGAATTCATGTGCTGCTACAGCGTAGAAGTGCTCATTATTTTGTCGTGGTCTACAGCAAAAATTATTGCATTCTATCGGGTTGTAAGTGTTATAATTAATTTAATAAAAAACTCTAAAAATAGATCTTAAGGCAATTTTACATTGTATCTGGGTGGGTAAGCCCTTAGCTTTTTTGCTTAAATTCACGTCTGTCATTAATCACCTTGAAAATGACCGTGTTTGTAAGGTTCAGAGGCTTGCGGTATTTCAAAGTGATACTGAGGTAGGTGACAAGTGGTTGTATCTCGTAACGAAAGTAATGGCAAAAAACCAACCTCTCACATCCACAAATACTAATCAGTATGCAACTTCACCCATCGTGATGGAGCCTGCGGGATGGACAATGTCGGTATCCCGAGACAATGAAGTGAGTTTAACATTTTCATGTATAGTTACGTTATTATTTGACGCACTTAAAACACAAACGTTAGCTTAATGTGTAGTAGACTTTTAACTCATCAACTTTGCCTGTTGCGTCTTTTATAAGGCTCTTTGGTGCATTCCTTTATTGTCTATGATGTTGATCTTAATACAATTTCACCTGTGCAAATGTCTGTTGAAATTAAGTGATCACATAGTCTAAAAGTAACCATGTTTGTGGTTTTAGCTGACGGGAGAATTTTTTCTAGTTTTTGAGGCCCATTATTTTCTTAAAGATTGTTTATTTTTGCCTTAGCCAATAACGCAGTTGGAGAATATGACCGAGGAACAATGATTTACCTTTCTACTGTTGCATCTTTTGTCGTTTATGCCATTGTTTATTCGCTTTTTTCTGTTTTTTAAATTATACAACACAATC